AATGTCAGGTTAATTTATTTCATATTCATACACATGTCAAACTTTAATTAACACTGGTCATATTTCAATGTAAGATTTTTATATACGTCAAACGTGTCATACTTCGTGACCAGTAAAAAACTGGCAGACATTTTATATATTTTGTTATATAAAATAAAATCCATTATAATTAATTATAGTTTAGGAAATTAACGTAAGGCGCGGGACTTAGGTTGACAGACATACTGTACACTTGAAATTTAAGTATGAATATATAGGGCGCATTTTCATTTTATTGTACTTTTTCTTTTTGCTTAAGATGAGTCTTACTGAATTGAAAGTTCAAAAACATACTTTATACGACATGATCAACATTTTTACATGATTTTTGTCAGAATTGCAAATGGGATATATTTGAAAAGTTACACACATGTTGAATATTTATTTTCAACATTTAACCATAAAATTTGAATCAATATTAATTGGAAACTACCCATTAATTAATTAAATATTTTATTAAATGCGTTTCCAATGAAAAGTGTCTTTTTCATATTTGCTAAAACAATTCTGTCAAATGCTAGTGCATGCCTGAATTGTTTTTTACGGTCATATAGCATTAGAAGGTAATAAATATATTGCCTGATTGTAAAGATATGTAATGTAATAAATGTAAGCTTATTTAATCAGTTATATTGATTTCTTAAAAAACTAAATAGTAAACATTGTTTTTCAGCTAAATATGAACCTGTAATTTTAACAAAGTACATTTTGCAGGTAAACATTACGAAGATGTATGATTAATTGACATATAAGGCCAAAAAGATAAAAATTTATACAATACATCCACTAAACTTTCTGTCAAATATTTCAAATACTTTATTTTTTTATTCCATTGAGCTATTAGCTTATGATAGCATTACTGGCATAATTACATTATAAATTTAAGGAAAAAATATCAAATTGAATGTAAGTGTAAATGATTATTTTTAAACTTCGAATAGTTTTTACCTCTACTTTTACATAAAATAATTTTCAACATGATACATATGTAAATATAAATTGATCAATATGAGCTGATAATGAAAGTCAGTATTAAAATTAATTTTATTCTGTATATAAATCGATCTCCAGCTATCATTGAATGTTCTTAAATTGCACAATGTTGCTACATTTAAATCACACAAACATGACAAAAACAAGAATGGTCTCAGTGAGGTTTTTTCAAAATGTTAAGTCAAAATATTCTTTCTGCTTATTTCTTCTGACCTTTTCGTTAAAGTTTTATATTGTAAGGATGTATATAATTGCATATATGTAAATCACTAACCTGACTTGATGCAAATTTTGTCTTACAAACATTTATGCATAGAAGCGTTGAAATATACATTAAAAACAATTGTCTGCAATATACAAAATCTGCAAAATCCTTGGCAAATGAAAATCATTAATATTTTAGTCCAAAGTAGATAATTGAAGAAATTTTGAGAGCCCTATATATACCGATATTGTTATCATTATCACAACTGTTCCAAACATGGCATATAAGTACATTGAAGTGGATAAATCAAAATATTTCTTTCTTTTTTACTCAAATAAATTAAAACGGAGATATGTGTTTATTGTAACGGTCAAACCAGAATAAAGGTCAATTGCATTAAATTAGGTAAACCGCTGTATGACAGTTTCTTTCGAAAACTATTACCATGTAATTGACAAAATGATATATTTTTTTTCCTAATAACTTAGGAAGTTTCAAGATTCAAACATTACTGTATACATATATATTTAGATACTGTTAGAATGGGTAAGTGACAGTTTCCAGTGGAGATTTATAATACTTACATTAAATTTACACATTGATAAAAATGCTGTGTTCTTATTTTTTTTTGAAAACTCATATAACTGTAAGTACAATGTCCTTTTAGGATTTTATTTGATAATATCTAAAGTTGTGCAATGATAAAAATTAATCGATTCTTAACGGACAGGACCGGTTAATGCCGTTCATTTTTCTGTGCGTTAATAAAATATTTTCAGTTGCTATTTCTAATGGAATCAAGGCAGCTGTGACGCTGAATGATCATTTTCGCATTAAACGAAATCGAACGGACAAACAATGCCGATGGTCATTATATATCCATTACCAAAATATGTAGAAATTTAGCACAGAGGTTGAAATGTATTTTTTTGTTCAACATGCTATGATGGTTGTGTAAATTTTGTTTCAACAACAACATAATAACATATTTCTTTTTAAGACGATGTCTTACTCATTATTTGAGGATATAAATCAAGTATTCCAGAGTGAAATAATGTACATTTCCTTTTAAATACATGATTTTCACAGCCAGACCTATTCATCAAATAACAAAATTACATGTTCATATAATATTATATACATTCCTTTCTGATTTTAGTCATTTACCTATCTGAGTAAACTAAAAGATGATAAAAATTATACATTGTAAAAGTGTAATAATTCATATATTTGAACGAATATTCCAAAAAGGAATTTTGTTTCAAAGTTTATAAATCTCGAGGTTAACCGTGACAAAATAGCCTTTTAACTAAATATCTCTTTTAATAAATTAAACATTGCATCAAGTTTTCTTGTCTATTTAAACAATTATTTGTAACATTATGACATAGTATAAATACCGCAATATATTTGTTTTTAGATTTTTGTGAAATAAAAATTATCGCAATATATCTGATTCTCATTTTATTTATCATGTCAATGTATTTAATACAATCGAGAACTTAACTCCGTCATGACTGTGATTTCTGCTGATAGAGCTTACTGAAAAATAATTTTACAAAACTCAATTACAACTACACACTACTAGATTTTTTCTTCATTACTTTTGACATCATTTTTTTGTGTGAGCATATTTTGCAATATGTTATACGGTAAGTGAATAAGATTTTTTATTTAAAAATATTTTAGCAATAGGACCTTATATAATATTTTAAGGAGCAAACGCTATTAATTTGTTGAAAAAAGTACATTATATGTGATTAAAACATTATTTCGGAATATATTATTGTTCAAAATACCTTTTTATTAAGAATGAAAATAGATTAAAAATGTACGAAACGTTGCGTACCAATTTAATGTTGTTTTTGTCTTAGTTTTAGACAGTATTCACATATCAGAAACAGAAAAAAGAAGAGAAAGTTCTATAACTACATAAATTATTCAGTCAATTAATCCATCTTTTTCAACTGGCAGAGGTGATTTTTAACTTTAGTAAAAATTTGGTGGTATCTTAAATTTTACACAAAAATACGCTGTTTTACCTTTAAGAAAAAAGGAAAGAATATATATATCAATAAATAAATAATATCTACCTTTATTTCGGTAGAATACAATTTATTTTGGTCACACAATCTACTTCTGACCCTTTATAAATTCCTTTTTTTTGTTTGTTAATTAGTTTGTTCCGTCTTAATTTTATATCGCCGGCTTCCTTTTCAAGTGTATTTAATATTTCTGTAACAAAACATCACTTTTTAATCACAGATTTTAATTTAAAAAAATCGCTAGCGTTTTTGAGTCTTTAGTTATATATAATGTTATCATTTTGAATAATTATTCAATCCTTTTATAAGTAGTTGTATAATTAATTATATTCGATATCAAACAGGAACAATAATAATCCGAACATTCATGATTGGGAAAAAGAGTTTTTTAACAACGTACCTTAAAAATAAATATTTAGTATATATTCTGTGTTACAGAATAAATTCGAACGAAAACGACTTGTGAAGTAAAATTTCATCTTCAAGTTGAAATAAATATAAAACTTTACTTTGAAGTTACTTCTTTTCATAAGTAGTCTTTACTCTTATGACAGCGATTAAAAGTAGTTAGCTATATAACGTTATTGTTATCGCAATCTCCATTCTTTAATTCAAAATATATGAAAAATCAAAAAAGCTTTTTATAACTTTTAAACCCGTGTCAAAATAATCTTGATTAATTATCAAAAATGTAGACTTTAGGAATCTAAAACGAGATGATTTCAATGGCAAAAATTTGAAAAATTATGTATATGCAAATTTCGGGAGTAACAAAGAGCCTGCTATAATTTCATGAATATCTTAAAGTATTATATTGCGAACTTGCATTATTATTCCCCTTCTAGTCTTGACGTTGTACCATACTCTACCGCACACGTATTGATCGAATCCTTGATAAACAGCTTACCGTAATAACCTTGAGAAAGTCCCCCAGATATCGGTGTAATGTAAAATCGATAAAACCGATAACAGCCTAGCGTCAAATAACAGTAAACACATCGGTCGAACACATCTGCTTACCTCGCAAAACGAGGCGGGCAAGCGTTCATTTATTCCCCTATATTACACCAATATGTGTGACGTTAAGTGTGATATGCTTATGTTCATTTGCGTTATTCTACTATACCTATTGACTATTGCTTTATTAATATTTACATTGACAAAATAACAAAAGAAAACACAAGAAATTTTAACAGAAAGTCGAAATGAATGAGCAATATCCTTAACATTCAGTGTTTTGCCTTTCACGGTTTATCTTCTTCACTTATCGGCGGACACACACACGCCGTAAAAACTTGCAAATAAATAGGTCAATACGCTAGTTATGCGATTTATCCATTGCGTACATAGCTTGTGACCTAGATTAAACACAATCACGATTTACAAATATCTGCCTAGATACTCCAAAAAAACCTCCATCTCGCGTAATGGGCACATTTCTCACAAAATTCCCAAAGAAGAATAATTACACTGTTGTACACATAAATCCTCCACCATTCAATGGCTTAATAACTTCAACATAAAGCTGAGTTCAACAGCGTTCGCTTCACTGCGTTAGCGAAACACTCCCTACTTCTATTGCTTTTCACGTTTTGTTTACTTTGGGAATCTAGAAACTGGTTTAGATAAACATGTCCTAGGGGGTTTAAATAGCGAGCCAATCAAACGGCGCTATTCGGTCGTTCTGATAGACGGCATTGTAATAACAATATTTCATGTGTATTGCGGTATGACTTCAGAGAAAATCATGATAAAACTGTGTAAAGATTCAGAGTCCTGCATAACGCCGCGGAATATACACTTACACGAAAATAATATAGGCATATTTTAAGCGAAATTGTTAAATACTTAGTAAAATATACAATGTATGACAAATATATCTTTTCTAAAACGCAGTGTAGAAAATAGTTGATATATTTATTATTACGGGAGAACGGATGTTATGTGAATTTTAATATTTTACCTTTTTGTGTTTAAAATATATGCAGTTACGGATGATAATTCGAAAGTGACAACTGTCATATGCTTTTGTTCAATATATAACGTTTATGGAAAAATAGGATATTTGTAAAAATAATGTTGGATATTGATTTTGTAATAATTTAAAGTTGGAATATATTGTACTGGATTTTAAGCCGGTATGTGGACTTTTATTATTTCTGTACATATAATTACTTGAAATTTTATACCATTTATTTAAGAGTAATATTTTATATTTATATCAGTCGAATTTTTTTTCAAAGAGTGTATTAACTAAGTAATGTAAATCAATTCAAATTTATCACAAATTCTCCGTAAATTGATAAATGCCTTATGAAAAGCAATTTCATGTTCCCGAACGCAGGCCCTAAATTTGATAAACATTGATAATTTATTGAAACACTTTTTATCCCTTGTAACTTTGATTTATATAAAAAACACAACTTTTTTTTTAAAAAAAGAAGGAAATATAATAAGCAAAGTTGTGACTCAGACACTTGAATAAATAGAAATGATTAATTAGAAGAAAATGTTATGTCCGTTATAGTAAATGATATGTTGTAAAATAATAATATTTCAAATTTTTAATTTTAATTTTACTTTATTGGAGATAACAAACATCAGCTTCTCGTATTTTGATTAAAATGAACGCTAGTTCAGTTGAATAAGCGGTGAAATAGCATTTCAAAATAGCAAAATAAGCCTTACACAGTTTTTATTTCAATGGGATGCGATACTTATTTTTGTTTTTTACTTTATATAAAAAAAATAAAATAAAAATATCATTTTTCTCATACAATTTTTAGGATCTTATACATACGTCAAAAGGTCGGTCTAAATTTAGAAATGTAAAATTGAGTAAAATTCATCTCGCCTCTTTAAGTATTATTTTCTTTATTTTTAAATATCTAAAAAAAAATTTTTTCGAAGACATAAATTACATGTATTACATACATATTAAATAAATTAAAAAAAAATGACTACTTCTGAAATCGATGTGTTTTTTTCTGGTATCCGCTGTCCCATAAATAGTATGCCTAAATTCAATTCAAAATGAAAATCACGTAAAAAGTTAAAATATCTGAAATCGAATTAGAATTAGTACTTTTATAAATAAATTTATTCACAGATACAATTTAAAGAAGTCGTTTTGCGGAATGATATGAAAATGTATGTTAATGATAAAAAATGAAAGTGACGAACCGGAAAAGACGCAAGGACTTTTTATAACGGAGAGACAACAAGTATATCCAATTCTGTTTTTAAGGAAGAATCAAAGCGAAAAAGTGTAACTTAATTACGTTATAAGAACTGATTTTAATTGCCTTTTTAGCATACTTGAACACCTTATGCGGAAACAAAATTTTCAAATTTATTCGATGTCTAAAAATAGCTATTACATATACATGTATATGATAGAACAAGTAATGTGCGAATATGACCCAATCTTTTACTTATACGGAGTATTCATTATGACATAATACAAATCTACATATTTGCAGAAATACGTTAATACAGACTGTGGTGCTTTTAATTTCCGACATTTCGAACAGGAAATAAACATGAACAAATAAGACACGAACTTGTCATTTTTTATTAGAATGCATTTCAAATAATTAGTCTTAGTATTCAAAGATATATTCAAAGTATATCGTCGTTTGTTAATTTGAATTAATTATATCTATATGGTAACATTTTACATAATATTGATGTAATTTTAACTGTTTATACTGACAGAGCATTTTGCTTAAAATACTGTACTTCGTGTTTGTTTCGACTGGCACAATAACTTTATTACTTTAAGTTTGTCATTTTCTTGCAACGGCGAAATTTCCGCTAAATACTGGCGAGGGTGAATTCAAATGATATTGAATTTAACGTTATTAGAGGAAACGCTGATTCATATATATAAAGTATTTTAAGCGAAATAATGAGAAATAAGAATGTGACACCTAGTATGTTTTTTTATGGTCAAATAAGTCTTTCTTTGATTCTGTTGTAATGAACCCGTTAAAACTTTCCCAGTACAATAAGCCGACAAAGCTACTTTCTCCGGTTAGTGTCTCTATATATAAAGTCCATTACAGAAAAGAGTTTTTTAACGTAACGTGACACATCCGCCGAACGAAAGAAGGAAATATTGTAATTTAGTCTTAAATATATATATTTATCTCCAGCGCATGAGGTTATTAAATATGATATTGTAAAATACTTTAAATATATACATTGAACATTTATTTCAAGATCATGATTTTTATATTAACACAGCCCTGCAGTTTATTTTATAATTAACGTAGAACATTAAGTTTTTCTTTGCACTTGATGGAAGGAACATATTTTGGTATTTATTAGCTTTTTTATAATAATACGTCATTGTCAAATACCACAAGCAATATTCCATGACGTCGACGTGCAGGTTTTGCAAAATCGTGCATTCAATTAATGAATTAGTGTAAAATTGAGTTACGAAAATTGTCCTGATGTTTCGAATGTATCTCGAGGAAGATTAATGATTTTATAAAATTAGTAAGCTGCTACAATGAACCCTTCTATGTTTTGACGTAACATGTGTTGGTGCAATCGCATTTATTACGTTATCATTTTATCGAGATAGTATTAATCTTACAGTTACTGTTACAAATCAATTAATATATGTTACTGATTAAACTTGCATTTTAGCAAAATTTTGCTCTTTCGAATTTGATTTGATTTTTGATTTTAAGGACTAATATTTGACCCTTCCTATATATATCTTGTGTTTTTTTCTAAACAATCGGCATTCTGCACACTATGAATCTCTATATTTAGTCTTACATTATCATATTAGATTTATAAATGTACATGTATATATGACTGTTTTGGTGAATCTTCATGGATAATTCATTATCGTAATCTGTTGCAACTGTTTTAAACATACATTATCTGTAGCTGTTATAAAACGTATAAGTTAGCCGCCTTGAGAAATAAAGATTTTTTAACCACCAACTTTAATATAATTATTATAATATACTATGTGCTCTTTGATACAAACCGAAGCAAGTCAATCCATATGTCATCCTTATAACAATGTAGAAGGTTCTTTGAGAGCAAATAAAAAGCTAAAAGTTGTATATTGAAGACTCGGTTAAATTAAGTCCGTTCATGGGTGAATAAAAGCTGGCAAGTTTCTCACGCACCCCGATTACCGGCTTTAGCGATGTAGGTCCTATTTGTATATATAGTTCTGTAAAGCTCACTTATATATAAATTAAAATTTCAAAGTCATCATTAGTAAGAGAAAGCACATAGCACAAGACTTACATCCGAGATTCTGATGTCAAATATAAATGTCAATCTTTTGGATTTAATCAGTTTAAGTGAACAGAATACTCTGCAGCTATAAATTGTATTATTTTGTATACCCGTATCTTGAGCATATAGTGGCAAGCATCTTATTTTTGAAAACTGCATTACGAATCACTTAATTATTTTTATACAATTATTTCCTCCATGTAGATGGGTTTTTGTGAAAAAGAAATGTTAAGAGAAAACTCGCGTTTGTCAGTTTGAGCCATAAATAATTCTTAAATTAACACCATTAGAAATAAACGTGTTGTGTATTTAAACATGTTTTGCAGTTGTTATTGCAAGAAAGTTCGTATGAAAGCCATATATCTGATAGACATATTGTGCATACATTTTCCTGTCAAGCAATATATATTAATCGCAGAAATCTTTTGAAATCCTTGAAATTCTTACTGAAGATGTTTTACTTGAATAAAAGAATGACAAAAATAGGAAACTGCCGTTCCCTATTACAGCTCATGTAAAGTTGGTCTTTTTTAAAAAAAAAATAACTGCCAGGTTTTTAAGGACACTATATATTCATATTTGTACCACCTATAGTGAGTAGAATTTTAATCATATCTACTTTGTGTGAAGTCAAAACATGTCTATGTCATATTTACAAGGAAACTGTGTAGCAATTATCAATATTTTCTAATATCAATATGTTTTATATACAAAGAATTGAAAATAAAATTAAAGGTATAAAATCTCTAAAAATGTTAGACCGGCTTATATAGATACAGTTCAAATTTGCCTACATGAAAGTTGATGACAAATTAACCCTCGCCTATAATCAATAAATTATCTATGTCCCTGCCTAGACAGGCAAACAGATTGTTATTTACATTTGAAAGTATCAGTTAACCTTTAACTGCAGGTCAAGCGTATTAGTTTATACATGTGACTTTCATTCATCATTGCATTACTGTATGCATGTATATATACGATCTCGATTAAATGTGTACAAAATGATGTGACCGACATTACTAAAAATAGATATACATGTAAACCTGTAAGGACTAGATAGATAAATAACATAAATTGCATTTTTCTTTAGGCTCATGACAACGTAAAGACAACAACTACAACAACAATATATTATTTGATTTATGTCATAGTTATATTCAGTACAACACGACAAAAACTAATATTTTAAGCAACTTATTTGTAATTTACATATTGACTATGAAGAAACATCAAATCTAAATATGATATCGCAAAAGCCATGAATTTACTCTCAAATTTAATGTTTTAAGCTAATTGATTTTAATAGCTAAATGTTGTTTTGTTTACCAACAATTATACAAGGTACAATACATTTTCCCCCCGAAATCACTTTATCACATCATGTATATTTGGAATTCATAACAGACTGATAACAGGGCTATCGTCGTCAAAATATGCTTATTTTCTCAAAGATGATTTGAGCTTAAAAATGGAATTATCCTATAAAAACGGAACAATCGTATAAAAATGGAATAATTTACATTTTATTGTGACATTATTTAACGTGAAACAATACGACTTTGTATACCAGCATTAAAGACTGAGCGTGGTATTTAACTACTTATACACTCATATATAGATTTGGAAAGTTTGACATAATTAATCAATTTTTATACACCAAGTTAATTTTAAGATGCGATGATATTGTAGTTTACTTCAATTTGGAAATAACATACATGTATCTCTGGCTATAATCACTTATGAATCAACTGCGCATGTGTGCGTCCTAGCGCTTTCGTTAAAGAATTAAAGCGTTCTTGTAACCCATGTCAATGTTTTGTCAGTTTAAAGTATAAATTAGTTTGTTGCATTTTACCATTCCGAC